ATCACAGGTGATGTTCTCTCTCATGTGGTGGATATAAATGTTCACATGCACATTTTTCTTTCTCTCCAACTAAAAGCAACACTCGTCTGCACACAGAAGTATATTTACATGCACAGATATAATCGAACTACAGCGTGTTTTTGCATATTCAGATATGATCCTTCACATTGTGCAGCTTGTTGAAGAAAGATTAATGGACCCTTTTCACATTTCAATGGTTCCCAGAAGCAGAAGTCGTCATAGGTAAATAGGTTGTAATGGGAAATATCTATAGTCAAGAACGGAAACTACAACACATATATTTTTTTGCATTCCCATTTGCCCCAATAGCAAACGAATTTCCAAAAAAGGGAAAAAAATTCGAAAGATTGCATTGGTCAAAAGATAAAGATGTTAAATTGGCCCTCACTCCCATATGTCAAGGCAATAAAGACCGTTTTAGTGTTATAATTAAAACATTTACATTTAAGTGTTATAAATGTAAATTAAAAAAATTATAAAAATAAGCATAGCCAAACTTCATGCAAATGAGCAATGAGCATTGATGTAGGTGAGGCTATCAATAATAATGGAGACCATGGTCAGCCCTCTAAAACATTGGATAGTGCAGTGGAATATGAACGTCTATGAGCAACCAAAAGCACAAGCTCCAGTGATTTATTATTTTTTTTTTCACTGTCTGTGAATGCACTCACTCATTGCTTTGGCACTGAGCCACAATGCAGGATAGGACATGACCACCATATTTTGCTGCTGGTGACCCTTTTCTGTTGCTAAATTAAAAAAATTATAAAAATAAGCATAGCCAAACTTCATGCAAATGAGCAATGAGCATTGATGTAGGTGAGGCTATCAATAATAATGGAGACCATGGTCAGCCCTCTAAAACATTGGATAGTGCAGTGGAATATGAACGTCTATGAGCAACCAAAAGCACAAGCTCCAGTGATTTATTATTTTTTTTTTCACTGTCTGTGAATGCACTCACTCATTGCTTTGGCACTGAGCCACAATGCAGGATAGGACATGACCACCATATTTTGCTGCTGGTGACCCTTTTCTGTTGCAGGTTTGCAATAACTGGCAAAGCAAATGACATCATGGAGTCGGCATGCTTTAGATCCGTCTGTCATATGGATGGAATCACAGAGGCATAGCTTTCCGGGTGGGAAAACTCCACATCTGTAGTGTGGATTATTTGTAACAGGCAACAGTTGGAAACATTTTTGTCTGGAGAGTATTCATCTTCAGCTCTTTGTACTGTGTGTGTTGGGAGTGTTAAACATTAAGAGATTCTGTTGTACAGTACATATGGCAATAACAGTCTTAATGTTGCTTATAGACAGTGTCAGCTGATTGTTTAATATAACCTGCTCTTTCCCCCATACAAATTGGTCCACAATGCCAATTAAAATCTTCTGTTTTATTGCTTCTGCTGTCAATTAACTCAATGACAATGGACTGTGATGATATTAAAGCAAGCCATGCATGAATATATGAACACTATGGTTGAAGATCAAATAGTGAACTAAAGAATCCTATTTTTTTCATGCTAGATTGAACACATGTTGGCAAAATGGGTTGTGAATGTTGCTTTTTTTGCTGACTCATGATAAAGCAGGTCAGTTGATACTGGAGCCATGATAGATGGCTGATTCGTATATTCATACTTATATAGCATATAGTCATGTCGCCATTTATCTATATTTACTGATGGAGATCAAATGTAACGGCCGTGTACTATTTTCAGTATAGGCATGCGGTGCATGTAATCTGCCATAATGAGAGTCATAGGTCTCCATCTGGACATACTTGTCCTTTCTCAGGGGAGAGAGGGTTTTGAAGAGACAAGACAGCAATGGTAATAGCTACATCATTAAATATAAAGAAGGATAATACTATAAAACACATACTGTCTATTCTGATTGCACTAAGACATCAGTCATAATACCAGACCCATTTAACCTGTGTTACTGTTAAAACAGAATAGATAGAGACAGATGATACAAAGACAATTAAAATCAATAAAAAACTGTTCAAATACAAACTGTGCATTATGAGTATTACATTGTTAATTTATGTCTCTAACGCTAAGGAACATCAATATATCTGGACAGATTTAATTTGATCCTGTCTGGATTCATTATCCAGACTGAATTAATTGCACTGGCAGAAAAAAGAGGCGGATCTTGCTTGTTATTCATTGATCACAAAGCTCTTTCTGCGATGTCTTAATTTCAGAGAGTGAGTTAATTCATGTGTGTGTGTGTGTGTGTGTGTGTGTGTGTAAAGGGGTAGTGGTGGTCGTCTTTGACAATGTAGGATGTGGATTATTGATAAATTAACAGATCGATGAAGAACTGCTTCCGAATGGCTACATGATCCCAGTGATAGCAGATCTATTGTAACTTACACTTTAGACTTCAAAACACCTAAACACCTGAAGATGATGTTAGACTGGAATCCAAATTGTTTAGCTAAAGATTCATTGTCACATGCATTTATATCATTTGAATCCCCTCACTGGTTGTAACTGACAGGTGTCCATCGTAGTTGATTAACCACCAGAAGTGATTGCATTAATCTAACCACTAACTAAGATGAACCATGCAATTAGATTGCTTTTGAATTCATTATCAGTTCAAATTCATGTCATGTCCTACAGTTCAGTTAATGAAGCATCAGGCTGTCTAAATGAACGCAAATTCTGAAACTACCATTTCGCTGTTCATCACTGTTTTATTGTTTATATAAATTATGATGTTATCTAGAGGTAGTATTAATGGATGTGTTCAAATGTATATAAATTATGTCACCCTAATTGAGATTCTCATTGTTTTTGTGTCATATAAACATTGCGCTGAAAGATAAAAAGCAGTTTTCCCATAACTGCTAAACAGATATTTGGAATCCTCTTTAACGATTGTAAAATAGACGGTCAGTTTCCGAAGCCCCATCCCAGTGTCATTGGATCTTAAGATGTGAGTTGATGCCAGTCAGCAGTCTCTGTAAATCTGACTATTGGAAGACCACTTTAAGAAAGGTCTTGCTTGGCTGTAATGGATTGGTAGGCTGATGTTACAGTTCTAGTTTACCTTTAAAGCTTATACCAGCACAAAGGATCATCGCTCTTCACTCTCAGCACATTCTTTTTCTAAATAAGCAGAAAGATCTCAAAATAAATTGAGAAGCAAAATTGCATAATTTATTAAGACTGAGGAGCGCCGGCAGATTCGGCTGAACTTGTTTTCGGTCTGTGGTAGTGATGACTAATCTCGGCTGCCCGGTTTCTGGAGAACAGGTGTCAGCCTTCCGTAGTATTTTAGTCTTTTAAAATGAACCTACACGTTCAATATGTTTATTATATACCAATAAATAGGCTACAGTCAGTGCACAGAAATGTGCGCCCAACTGTAACCAAACTTTCACCTTAAGTTCCCGCAGTTATGTATGAGTCTGTCGAATTATTCGACCGGCTTCATTTGTTTAATGTTTGCCACATACTAGCTTATTTTAGCAGCCCATATAATGGAGTTTTACTATGTGTTTACAGTGTCCGTATTATAATGACTATATATAAAATTAAAAGTAGGTTACAAATGTAATTTTATAAGATCCTTCACCTCCAATGAAACCCATAATTCGTTCCTTGCGTAGGTATTTAGACTGACAGGACTATGGGCAAGAATGTACAGAATTCATCACAGAAAGTATAATAAGAATTACCAAAGTAATCATAGTTTTCACCAAGTAGTATAATTATTCTTACTACTGAAAATCATAAAAAAATATGATACATTTAGATATTTGTACTGAAAAGGAGCTTTTGGCAGTGTACTCTACTTTTTCCAGTTAATCACTCTCATGGTCCATAAACTCCTTCAAATTTTGCCGCATATTGGGACTACAGGATCTCAACGTAAGGAGTTTTCAGAATCTTGTCTTTTAATTTTTTTTTTTTGATGATGACAGTGGTGCCACATACACTGTAGACAACTATCTGTGGTATTTTTGGCGTGAACTTATCATGGTACGTTTTTGTAAGGGATACGTCTGATGCTCAGGGTGAGAAACTCAAAGTGCGTAAGCATGTAACCCTGAGGGTCCCCTACCGAGTGCCCTATGTGACCCTCACCACCTCCAGTCTCGTGTAACACGGACCAAATCAATTTAAGCATGCACACACTCTTGACTAAACACAATTACATCGTGACCTCTTTTCAGTGATCTGATTTGCAAAATGCCAAACGGAGCCAGCAATTGAGTTTGATCCAGGTGAAGAATCTCCGCCGACACATGAGCCAGCAGCACTCCCTCTGGATGTGATCTTACAGCTGTGTGAAGGGGTTACGCTCCTGGTGCATCTTACAAGAAATCTGGCGGGGACAGAAACAGCCTAATTGGTGGTGAAAAAAGTGATAGCATGTTGAACCTTGATGTTTGATGGTATTAAAGCTCAGTAGCATTTCCTGGCCGGTGCATAGCAGTGCTGTACGGACAGGTGCAGATCACTGAAAAGCACAGTAATGATAGGGACTGAATAGCCTACAGTATGTAAATGAGGACAAACCATATAACCCATTATTTGATTTTCCAATTGAGAACATTCCTGGACTTGGCCAGAGGGAAATTTCGTCAGATTTGACACATTAATTTAGTTCCCAAACTACAGCTAAGTAAATCCACAGACACTCGTACACACATACTCTTTGCTCAGATGTCTTAAGCATCGGGCATGCTCCATGGGAGTCCAATAAAGCATGCCAAGTTAACTCATTGGCACGCTTACTCAAGCGAATGCAAATTGAAAGAAAAAAAGGAAGAGAGAGAGAGAGAATGAGGGGGTGGGTTGGCTGCTGTACTGGTGCATCTGTTTCTGAATGAGAACGAGAGAGGATGTGGATGAGGGGGGAGGAGGAGGAGGAGGAGGAGGGCAGAAAGAGGAGTTTTAAAGGGCAAAGACAGTATATGAGAGAACAAGAGGTGATGTTTTAGGGGAAATGTGCAGGAAATCAGAGAGGTTTTCCCTTTTTGCTTTGACTGTGGGGAGTCTAGATGGTGACGACCTGACCGAATTGTATGTAATTGTTACAACTTATAACGTGCTATGGTTTCTATGAAAGGATGTTTGTGTGGGAGCGAGTTAGAGAGAATATGCTAATTCATTAATGAATGCAAGATGAAAAATGTGATGCGAGTTTAATTACCCTGTGTGTGTGTGTGTGTGTGTGTGTGCACGTATGCTTGTTTGTGACTATGTCTTTAAAATGCTCTGGCATCCACAGATTAATGAATTAATCTGTTTCTTTTCACAGCTATACTAAAGAGAAATGCTTCTACAAGGCCCACTTAGTCCTCAATAGAGCACAACAGTAGGGTTCCAGAAGTAAAAATGCCATTAATTTACACCACAGAGGAATGGATTTTAATGATATTGAATAAACCTTTCAAAACAAACCTACTCTGAGCTCAGAGATTACGATAAGATATATGTTGATACAGCAGTCAAATCAAGGTTGTGTAGTGTTATTCATCTCTGGTTGCTTTGGTTCATGTCTTGGGACACTTTAATGAAGAAACTGAAGAATTCACATAAAACACATCACATATTAGCACTGAGTGTGATCACATGACCAGATCGAACCTATAGAGAGAGTAAATTAGTAAATTAGTAATAGTAAAGTAGTAAATTAAATCAAAGTGAAGTCTGCGTCCTCACTAATGAGCCTCCAAGTCCTCTTAAAGTGAAAGTGACCAAGTACGGTGACCCAAACTCAGAATTAGTGCTCTGCATTTACCCATCCAAAGTGCACACACACAGACCATGAACACACACCCGGAGCAGTGGGCAGCCACTTTTTTTTGCAGCGGTGCCCGGGGAGCAGTTGGGGGTTCGGTGCCTTGCTCAAGGGCACCTCAGTCGTGGTATTGAAGGTGGGAGAGAGCGCTGTACATTCACTTCCCCCACCTACAATCCCTGCCAGTATGAGACTCGAACCCACAACCTGTGGGTTATGAGTCCGACTCCCTAACCATTAGGCCACAACTTCCCCCTTAAACACACCGCACACCAAAACGAGTCCATAAACACCTCTTACAGTGCCTGCGTGAACACAGAGATGGGCATAAATACATGACAATTTATTTAATATAACAATACAAAATACTGTGTGGAAAAATTTATTTAAATACAAATACAGTATTTTGAAAATACACAAAATACATGTGAAATTGGCCATCCAATGTAAGCACCCCTATAGGCAAAAAAAAAAAAAAAATATATTATGTAGTTTATTTTGTTGTATATAAACTAAAGCTTATTCAAATTAGAAAGTTTATCTAAAATGTAAATTTAAAATGAGAATTTAACACTATTTGCTCAGTTTTTTTTTGATGAACAATAAAACCAAAAGCTTAAGATGTTTTTGTGGTGTACCATTCATCAGTGTTTGAATCAGTATTGTAATCAATAATCAGTATTGTTCAGTCAATATTGTTCAATTTAGTGTTATAAATATGTTATCATATTCAAACAGTATGTTTTGTTCTAATGTCACAAGTCATAATCTCAAGTTTACTGGGTTTTACACGATTTGATTCTTTTGTGTGGGTTTACGCAGTGTACTTTCACATTTTCACATGTGTCCTCCAAAATGACCCACAACCTTATCAGTTTATATGTGAAGAAATCCATTTATTCATAAACTTCTCACAAAATGATTGTTTGAAGTAAATTAAATCAAAGTGAAGTCTGCGTCCTCACTAATGAGCCTCCAAGTCCTCTTAAAGTGAAAGTGACCAAGTACGGTGACCCAAACTCAGAATTAGTGCTCTGCATTTACCCATCCAAAGTGCACACACACAGACCATGAACACACACCCGGAGCAGTGGGCAGCCACTTTTTTTTGCAGCGGTGCCCGGGGAGCAGCCTTGCTCAAGGGCACCTCAGTCGTGGTATTGAAGGTGGGAGAGAGCGCTGTACATTCACTTCCCCCACCTACAATCCCTGCCAGTATGAGACTCGAACCCACAACCTGTGGGTTATGAGTCCGACTCCCTAACCATTAGGCCACAACTTCCCCCTTAAACACACCGCACACCAAAAGGAGTCCATAAACACCTCTTACAGTGCCTGCGTGAACACAGAGATGGGCATAAATACATGACAATTTATTTAATATAACAATACAAAATACTGTGTGGAAAAATTTATTTAAATACAAATACAGTATTTTGAAAATACACAAAATACATGTGAAATTGGCCATCCAATGTAAGCACCCCTATAGGCAAAAAAAAAAAATATAAATATTATGTAGTTTATTTTGTTGTATATAAACTAAAGCTTATTCAAATTAGAAAGTTTATCTAAAATGTAAATTTAAAATGAGAATTTAACACTATTTGCTCAGTTTTTTTTTGATGAACAATAAAACCAAAAGCTTAAGATGTTTTTGTGGTGTACCATTCATCAGTGTTTGAATCAGTATTGTAATCAATAATCAGTATTGTTCAGTCAATATTGTTCAATTTAGTGTTATAAATATGTTATCATATTCAAACAGTATGTTTTGTTCTAATGTCACAAGTCATAATCTCAAGTTTACTGGGTTTTACACGATTTGATTCTTTTGTGTGGGTTTACGCAGTGTACTTTCACATTTTCACATGTGTCCTCCAAAATGACCCACAACCTTATCAGTTTATATGTGAAGAAATCCATTTATTCATAAACTTCTCACAAAATGATTGTTTGAAAAACTACTTGGCAAACTTTCACCGCTGCTTTCTGATGGTTTGGAGAACAATTACTCCGAGTCGGCCCCTGTCGTTTCACAGAATTATACAAAGGCGAGCAAGTGTCAAAAAAACCTGCGTCCGTTTAGGGAGTAGCGCACGGTCTGCAGGCTCGCGGTGTACTGTAGAGGCAGGCAAAAGTATAAACATGGCTTCAACTGAACAAACCGCTTCCACTACGAGAGAAAGCGGCAGCTGCGCGGTGATTCCACCACTTTCCGCGTCCCGTGTGAAAGGGCCTTTAAAGAGGTGGTTCACTGGGTTTTTTTATAGGCTTGATTGTGTTTATGGGGTGCAGTCTAACGTGTTAATGCTTCGTTAAAAAAAACACATTATTTTTCACATAATTTAACTTTATTCCACACAGCTCTGTCCCTTCTCTGAGAAACGCGCTGATCATTTCCTGTTTTTATGAAGCCCCTCCCTCAGAAATCGGCGATGGGCTCTGATTGGTTAGCTAGCCCAGTGTGTTGTGATTGGCTAAACCGGCTTTAGCACACGTCTAAACGTTCCGCCCCTCACCTCTGCGGCATGTGCTCCGGTTGTATTGTAAACAATGGCATCGTTAATATTGCTTAGTTTGAGCCCGATTGAGAAGCTGAGGATATTATTGAAGAGGATCGTGCAGAACCTGTGCAAGCACGGCTTTTAATGGTAGGCCTATGTCTTTTGTTTGTTGTTGTCTCATACTTTTAGATACGCTGTTGTAAATGCTACT